GACTTAAGCCTATATACATATATATATATATATATATATATATATATACATACATACATACATACATTAGTTCTCAAAATTTCTTGAGTTTTATCTGTTGCCTCCTGGATCTTCTTTGTTGATGTTGAGTCATTTTATTGTTTTGATATCACCTGACATCAATTGCTCATCTGCTTTTATGATGTTTGCACCACCCCTGCTCCTACTTTTGAGGTTCAATGAATATCAAGTGTTGGTTGAGTTTCTTTGATCTGCCCATTTTTCTAATGTACATTGCAAGGTTTCCAACTTGGTCTGCTAATAAGTGGTGAATATAATGCATTTCCTTCTTCCCAGATATGATCGTTAAAGTTTCATAATTGGCTTCACTCTTACTTATACTGCATGGTTAGGTTCTGGATACTCTCCTCCTACTGCACTTTAGTCTCCCTGGTCAATAACACAAAGGTGGAAAATATCAGCATGTCCCATTTCCTTAATTTTGGTCATGCTTCCTAACTGTAATCTACCTTTGTGTATGTTATACACAGATCATTTGGTACATAAGATTGGATGGGATGTCCCATTGTTATTGCCATCCAGTCCTGTTCAATATTTGTGCTTAACACATTTTCAAGGCAAAGTTAGAAACTATTAGTTTCAATCATTGAATTAATTCTTTCTACCTCACAAAGGTAGGGGTAAGGTCTGCGTACATCCTACCCTCCCCAAACCCCACTTGAGGGATTACACTAGGGATGTTGTTGTAATCATTGAATTAATTCTTTCTACCTCACAAAGGTAGGGGTAAGGTCTGCGTACATCCTACCCTCCCCAAACCCCACTTGAGGGATTACACTAGGGATGTTGTTGTAATCATTGAATTAATCAACCAAAGTCTTACCAGCACTCGTCAAATTTGCCTAGTTTGAAATTATACTGCAGTAACAAGATTAATTAAAGAACTGGAACATTAACATTAATAGGGTAAAAAAGGAAACAAAATGAGCAGAGGGAGAAGGGGAGATCTGGGGTGTTGATCAATGAGAAGGAAAATGGTCAAACAGGAAGACTGAAACCAAAAGAAGATGTTGTTTTGCAGCTCAATTTCAGGTGGAGAAAGGGAAGAAGATGAATTGTAGTGTATAAAGAAGAAGGGGAACGGTGGAATCACAATGAGAAGGGCATCGTGTTTGTGCGACGAGAAGGGGTAGTGGTGTGTGGCCTGCCAAGAGGAATAAAGACGACTAGGAACTTCTAGGAGCTTTATATTTAGGCTCTGAATGGTCATTTTGTATTCTTATCAGAATGAGCCATAATCCAGGGAAATAATTCCTGCCAAACCACAAAAGAGAAGATATGGAGTGTCTTTCAAATGATAAGATACTGAGGGTGCCCAGACAAATAATCCACAGTTATGCAATCTGTGGACATACCAAAATGTTGGATTTGGCTGGGTAAGTTTTATTGTGACTTTGATCCATCTACCAAACGACCTTTTAGGGAATTTCATCCATCTTCAAGCACCTCCCCAAATGCCAAACCATAAAATAGTCTCATTTGCTTCTTCAATTCCTTCGTACATTGCATGCCATGTTGCCTTATTATTGATGCATCGTTCTTTTTTTTAAGGTTGAACCAATCGGTAGCCCCCTAAAGTTGGCACGACTTTTCACTTGGACACCTTAAGTAAGCCTTGACATTTTGAACACTTGAACAACTTAAACTTTGGGTTATTAAACACTTTTTTCTGACAATCAATTAAAACTATAAAGTGTGTATTGCACTCGCACGTGACGTGGCATGATGACTAATTAAAAGAGGACATGTGGCATTTGGGTCTAGAATAATAATTTAAAAATTAATTATAAGAAAAACTATTTTTCAGAAATAAATAAATAAAATAGAAAAGGTACTTCCTAAACCCCACATACCAACCCCTCCTTCCCCCAGCCATTAAAACTCCCTCACCAGTAGTCATCCTCCTCTCCGTCTTCTTACCTCACATTTCTCAATTGGTTCAAGGATCTTCTTCCCCATTCTATACAAGGAGGAAGAACTGAGTTTCTCTGGAAAAAATTAATAAATCTGTATGAACGTTCCCGGAAAAGATGGAGTGCTTGTCGGAAATTTCTTGAAACCCAGATCTGAGTTTATATCTATGTTAGACCAAAACAACATTCTTGACTGGAAATAGAGTGAAAAGATTCTTTCTTTGAGGAATTGGAACGAAAATGGCATCAATCACGGGCGGGTATAAGCATCATAGGACCTGTGGTGGGTGGTAACATGACATTTTCAGTGACCAAAAGGGCTTTACCCAAGTTGAAACTGAGCTCAGAGTTAAGTTTCGTGACGTCTCAATTGAGTGGCCTCAAAATTTCAAGCACCCATTTGAGCTCTCCTGCTCCACTTTCTGTTCCTTTCAATCTCTCCCTTCAATACGTTGCTCGTAAAAATGGAGTGTTTTCCGGTGAACAAGATAACAATGGTAGAAGATTTGTTGATGGTAGAATATTAAATGGAGAAGAAAGAGAAAAAGAATAAAGAAGAAGGAAATAAAAAGAATGAAAAAACAAAAAATATGGTTTTTTCAGGTTCTTCATGCGTCGATTTGATGTGAATATCACACAAGTTGCCAAGTCAGCGAAAAGTGTCAAAATGACACAGTCCGACCTTACTTTAGTTGTTTACAATGTACAAGGCTTACTTGAGTTTTGAGGTGTCTTTAAGTGAATAGGCGTGCCAACTTTAGGGGGCTACCGATGAGTTCCGCCTTTTTCTAATGACTGAGAAATTCGTTGTTCCAGCTTCGGAACTCGGGGATAATGGGCCAATCGCTCTACCTTCTCCACTTAAATACCAAACTTGGCACAATCTTCAAACTCCTTTTTGAGATTTAACTTATTTTCATTTTGGATTATGGCATATATCTTGAGATTAATAACAATTTTTATATACCAATCTACAGGCTGTGCAAAGCCATATATACAGAAATGAAGCTGACAAAAACCATCCTTCTCTACTTACAAAGATTCTAAAATTTTAGGATAGATTCAGTGTCCATTAGGAATTTTTCTTTAAACCAAAAATGAAACAACGATAGGTAGTTCATCTTAATCTTCTGCATTGGACTACCCTTACCTTCAAGTCATCTCAGATTTCTTCCACCCCCCCCAAACAGACCAAATGCAAGCTGGTATCAACTTTCATCTGCTTTTCTCTCTGGGTGAACTTCCTCCCCTTTCCAGTACTTCAGCAAATCTAAAGAGCTTTTTGGCATTGCCCATCTGATACCTTTTTGAGAAACAAGCAAAAACACAGGTCTTTTGCACCAGCCAGTAACATCACAGCTAATGCCCCATCACAACAGATTGCAATCGGTCTCAGTTTTCTTGCCACAACAATGACATCTAGAACACAATACCTCTCTTTTAAAAAAAAATTCAGTTAAACAGACCTCTTTGACTACTAACCACATAAAGCATGCCACTTTGTATGGAATTCTAACTTTCCATGTATGCTTCCACGCCCACTACTCTAGCTGACCGGGGGAATTTGTTCAGGATCCCATTTTGATTTAAAGTTATCTTCGCAAGTTAACTTATCAAAAGTATTACCTTCGCAAGTTAACTTATCAAAAGTGTTACCTTTGCAAGTTAATCACGAAATTGGTTTAGAGGTGATATCCTCTACACTGATATTACTGAACATGAATAAGCTCAAAGTATGGAGTTAGATTAGAAACACTAGCTCTGCATCTGGCATTACTTGAAACTGGAATTTAATGTGTTAGCTTAGAAATGGTCTCTGTTAGCTTGTGAACACTAACTATGCAGCTGATGTTTCTTGAAATTGGTCAGGAATGAAATGTTAGGCCATATTTTCTAGTAGCCATCCAAGAACAAGTATGATTCATTGAGTCCTGGTTGTCAGTTTGCTGTAATTTACCTTTTCAGCGTCTTGCTACACCCTATAAGTTTGTCAACAAAATGGCATGAACGTCACACTGAAATCTTAATAGGTTTACTTTCTCATTGCCAGCCTTATTCATTTGTCTTAATTGGATATTACTGTGGCAGGTTCATGAGGATATTGAAGTCTTGGTATGTTAGTGGGGTTTTATACTGGCACTGGAGATGGGAAGCTGTAGCCGGAGTTATTGCTGGTTTCTGTACTTCCATAATGACAGTAATTCTTTTTGCACTCCTACGGAAGTTCTTTTCTTGCATCTATCAACTTTCTGTGGTGAGAAGGTTTACTCTGCCATTCAATAAAATCCGTTTAAGGAGAGTTTGTTTCCTGCTAGCTTATGTGTCATTTACTAGTTGGTTGGCCGTTCAATATCTCAGACGGATTGGGCTCCCTGAAATAGCAGTTTTCTATAGCATGTAGCACTCATTTTTGTAGAAGTGCTAGAGCGTGTTGGCAGTTAAAGTTGAAATATGAAATTGTGTAATATCTTTGTACCAGTAGACACAGTTTTCACATAGTGTTTCTACCATATGTTGTAATCTAGTTCCTTGTGTACAGAACAAACTGCAGGAATAAATACTAGTAAAAGTTTATCCCAGAGCATTATTCTGTGCCCAGGTGAATGAAGTCTAATATTGTTCTTCTCTGGTGCTTTTTCTTTCTAGTTTATGTTCTTCAGAAGCGATAATACCTTAATCTGGCTGGTTACAGCAGGATCAGGTTACAAGTTGGTTGGCCGTTCTATCTTTAGCTAAACCACAAATTTACTGTCCCTTGAATTTTCCGGCCCCCAGTTGTCTGACTATATTTGGGACTGACTGGTTTAAATCTCAAACAAGATAGAACAATAACTAGAGTATTATTTTGTTATCTAATTGATTGCACTAGCCAATATTTGGTTGCTGCTATTTGATATGTTTTTCCACTGATTTCTTAGTCTACTGATGCATTACCACACTTACTGAAGAACATTGCTATCTTTTTAAGGATGCAGTTTATGTATAATAAGACAGAAAATCGTCGATAGAACTTAGAAAACAAGGAAATGAAAGGAAAATAGTTGATCAGTTAGGAGATTTTATTGTTAAAGAATGAGCACAAAGAATACTGATGGAGAATTTGAAAATTTTCAAAATATTAGCAGAGAAGAAGATGAGACTAAGAAATTCATACAGAAGCATCCTACAAGTTCATCACAATTTTTTTGATTTTGTCTATATGAGACTGTAGATTTCTGCCACTTTAAATATACTTGTCACTTGAGATTTGGATTACAAACTGAAAACATGAAACATTGAGTTGAATTCAACCTACTTTCCTATGCTTGTAGCAACCCCATAGGACCTCTTAAAGAAGCACGTTTGAAGCTGCTAAATAGCAACAGTAGCTAAAACCTTCCAGATTCTGAAATGATCCTCTCGATTTCTCCAAGAAGGCGCTCTTTTTCCTTGACCAAATCCTCATTCTGCCTCTGCAGCTCTTCAATTTGTGTAGTCTGTTCTGAATCCTTTCTGTGATTATGCAAAAACTCTGATTAGTCACTAATCATGATTGCTTTACCATTTTATTGTCACTACAACTATATGGTTCACAATATCACAGACGTGAAGAGAAATCTCAAAATTGTTTCACAGAATTGATAGTCACATAGTAAGTAGTAAACAAGCTTGGAAACATGGACAAAGTTGTTGCATGTTCTTGGACTAACAATACTCAATGTTGTGTTTGAACGTACCTATTCATAAACGCCAAATTAAGTTTAAGTGAACGAACTTCCTTCTCCAGATTCTCGCAGCGTTTCATAAGGGATTGCATATCTGAAGGAATTGCTGGTGTTAAATTTCTCTCTTTGGCTTCTGCCATTCTGCATCAACATTGAAACCAATAAATGGATCATATTCTATGAGAAATTTTCAAGTGGCATACACATAAGGAACCACAAACAAGTAACTAAATAATAACCCTTCGCTTACAGAATAAGGTTTGCCTCAATATATCAAAAACAAAGATGTACAAAATCTAACCATCACACAGTTATGGTTGCGAAAAAAGAGAGTTATAGACTGGCATCAGCTTCTACTCTGGAAGCTCAATAGTCTATAACATTTTGTTTATAAAGCCAGAGAAGACTCTTGGCTTTATCATATACCTGAATACATTTACCATCATCATACACATAAATAAGTTTTAGGATATCCATTGTCAAACCAAAGTGACTATCAGGACATATACCCAACTTTAAGCTGCATTTTTTGCTCGTACTCGAGTTGGATAGAGACGTGGTTTGGACAATTTAGGTTATGAAAATTTCAAATACATGCTTGAGTCAGGTACGAATAGTTGGTTTGAAATACAATCCTAAGCTTAGTCATACAAAGTAGATAGAACAGGAAAGACAACAAATATAGAGAACTAGAGAAGAGAAGAGAAACAAAACATCTGGTTGGACTAATCAAATGTTTGGCATGACAGGAGAAGGCCATGCAAACACGAGGCCAGCAGTTTCGAGCAGCCTAAACTCTGAGTAGGCCATGAAGTTAAAGCATCAGAAATTGCAAATTTTTTGCAAGTATATGTGATGAAAAGCATGCATTTGATGTTCCATTTAGAGAGGCAATATCACATAGTTCAGGCCTTACAGAATGTCAAGGCTTAACTAACATCTCATGCTTTTCTAAATCTCGTTTCTGATTTCTGCTTCATATCATTGCAGGAAAATAAAGCTGTAATAAGTCACATACGGAGGCAGAACACGTGCTATCTGCATAAAATTTCTACATGCAATAGTCTTACCAACCACAGAAAGGACTAATCACTAAGAAGGAATGTAGTCGGAGAAAGAATAAGATTCATGCAAGTTCTGAGAATAGGTGTACATACTTCCGAGACCGCTCCACCCTTCGCTTCTTCTTAGGATCTCCATTTTCCGCTGCATTTGCTCATACTGGTTAGAAGCGAACAGCATGAAAACAATCAAGTAACATCATGCATGTCATGTAATATAGCATCTTGGTGCAATTAAGCCATAAAACTTTTGATCTAACAGAATTACATAGATCATAAACCTCAATATAAGAATGAAAACAGATTACTAGCACAGTTGGCACTGGAGCTCAATTTTTTCATTAAATAAGACAGTTTCAATCTCATGGTAAGCATGGACCTTTCACATTTACTTTGCTGTCTCTTTTGAGAACTTTTTGATTTTAAAATTGTCAGAAAGAATATAACAAACATCTTATTCCTTCTATTCCCGGAACAAGAAAGAAATGTAAGGTCAATATATATAGATTTGATTTTTACTTTATTTTTTCCAGTTTCACTCCTTTGATTGCATGATTCATTTTGTAACCTTTCTAAAAATATGCAATCAACTGAACCAATTTCGGCAGTATTGCAGTGCCAACATATTCCATAAGTTCTTCCGATATGCTCATTGCTTTATTGATTTTCACCTAACAAGTGATCTAACCTAAACTACTTTGGAGTTTCAGGATAGGAAGACATAGGGAGACAGAGGGAGAGAGAGAGTCTGCAGTAATGCAATAGGAAGCAACAGGCATGCCACCACCATGTTTGAAAAGAACATGATCAACGTTGGTACATTTATAATTTTAAATAGATATGAAAGTGAAAAATGCAAAGATGTGATATTTGTTCATTGCAGTCAAATGTCTTAGTTACCTGATTGTACTGATGTCAAAGATCCATTTCGAACTAAACCTTCTTTCTGCGATGTATGAATAAATAGGAGAAATTATCATCAGCCTTAACCATCTCACTATTCTAAGTTGAACATTAGGTAATGTTGTTTCCAATTCCAAGGACATATGAGTAGAGAATACCTTTTGGTTGTCCTTCATGTTATCATATATTCGTTCTCTAATATCTGCAGTTCAACAGTAAATGGCTATATCAACAAACTTGTGAGCAAAGCACAACGCTGATTTTGGAGAAACAATCATCTCAAATAAGTGCACTATGTGAAATCTGAAGTTCCAATTAGTATCATTTCTTAGTTTGAAAATCTAAAAATCATCACTCTGTTTGAAGAAAGACCTTGTTTACACGAATTTGCTAAGATGTGCAAGTTGCAAATTGAAAGCAGCATAGATAATTCAATACAGACAGCTTATGTATGTTATATTTACCTCTAGCAGTTGAACCATTTTCGGAGCTCCTTCCATATCCAACTTGATTTCTAGAACCCTCGTACACATTGAAAGCTTGACTTGCATTGCTCAGGCCATCATATGCATCAAAATCGATCGAAATTATTGGTGCTGCAACAGAAGATCCACTTTGAGAAGGTTCCTGTGATACCATGTCTATCTGGATTGGGTTTGAGGGAGCCATAATACTTTCTAAGACGGCATCTAATGACCCTTGAACTGTTTGTGGAATCCCCGTATCTCTGACTTGAACAACAGATGCGTCCTGATATGTCCCTTGATTCAGAGAAATATGATTCCCCGGATGTTGATTCATGCTGGAGTTACAAAAGACTTCTTGATTACCATAACACCCCAACATATTCTCCTCAATGGCTTCCCTCGCAGTATGATAGTTTGTCAATTTCTTCCGCTCTAAGGTCCCCTTTAGCATGCTTACAACAGAAGAAATATTATCCGCACCATCCACTTGCTGTGCTTCAAAAGTTGATGAAGATGAATTTGATGGAGACATAAAAGTATTAGGTTGGTTGGTAATTTCACACATTGACATGTCAGTGTACCCAGTGGGATCAGAAACTTCTTCTTTGAAGTTATTAATAGCATTTCCAGGTATATTTTGCAAGGCTTCACGAGCTAGTGAAGACTGTGAGTTTTGCATGGCTGCATACCTCCTCCTGCAGAAATTTTTAGGGACATAACCAAATATCGCAAGAAATAATCAGCATCCAGCAGTAACAATATCAATGTAATACATCGATGGAAAAAAGATTCTCCAATTAGTTTTTGGAAATTTCTTGTACGTGGAAGCCTTCAATTCAAACTAGATAAAATCAATCTATATAAGAAAACAAAAAATTCTTGAGGGTCTACTCCAAGTTTATATATAATGCTGAGTAAAGCAACCAAGGATATTGTTTCCCAATCTCAATAAAGGATGCAATATGAGGGATACCTTAACTCAGATGAACGACTTCTCGTCATGGGCTGAGAACTATGGAACCAGGTCTGCAAGAAAGCTCTGTATGAGATTTCAAAGAGAAATTCTAAGAAAGATACCAGCAATTACAGAACAAACCTTGGCTAAAAACAGATTACTAGCTTGCATTTCCCTATCTGTCACATTCCTGATGGCAAAAGAAATATGGTTATTACCCCCCAAAAATTTCAGAATGACTAATAAGATGATAAAAATGCTTGAAATATCGAGATTGGTTGAGCAAACCGGATAACCTCCAAGGCCAACCAAAAGAGTAAGGCTAAGGCAACAAGAGAACACATTGCAATAGCCCCCAAAAATGCAGTTCTAATCATAATTAAATCATACATGCCTAAAGTGGTAAAAGGTAGCACACAAGAAAGATATAGATCACCTGGTTGAATGTTGGTTAAGGTTGCTAGATGATTCAATGGCAATACATGTATTCTGTGGCTGTTGAGTATCGGCTATTTTTCTTTTCTGAATCCCCTCATTTTGCTGACTAGATAGACCAGCAAGTTCACTGGAGATCCTGCATTTTAAAACAAAAGGATGTCATAAATCTGAAAAATTAATGCATCTCTCTGCTGACATAGGTTATCATTCCGACTTCTTGTAGAACCACGAAAAATGTATTCAGAAATTAGAGTGAGAAGTTTTAAGTGACAAAGAAATCATAACTACTCTGAGAAGTTGGCTTCCTTTGCATAACAGCAGGAAAACCTGGAAACGAACTGAACCTTTTTCCTTTTGCCTTATACTTAGTATTCACACGATTTTCGGAGAACTGAAGTAACACAGAGAGTTGCATTGTATCAATAAATGATGAATTTCCTATTTCTCAGTGAATCCTCCCTGTGGTAACTTTCTCTAATCCTAAACAATATTTACTGTGTTCTATATATTGTAACTGTTGCATCATGCACAAATGTAACTTAAGAAGAGAAAGACCTTAGAGTACTCTCTCAACAACAAGCGAAATGATAAAAGTGATTGTCTTATTGAACATCCAAACACACTAACCTTCGTGATGCTTGTCGAGCACGCTGAGCCATTGGTGTAGAATCACTGCCATTATTCTGAGAAGCAACAGTAAAGAATCAGTCATGATACAGAAAAACAAGCAGGCAAATATAGAACTGCTATACATGCTTTATAAATACCAAAAAATGGATTTGAGAATGCAACACAGTTATAGATGAAAGTCAACATGTATAAGAGTGGAAGGATTTCTTGCCTCTGCACTTGTGAGCCAGCTTTTGAAAAGTTCCTCACTATCGGTTCGAAGAGAATGAGAGATGTTTCTAAAACCCAACATCTCCATTGTAGGAACAGGCACTCCTCCTACTGAGTTGTCCATCATAGTTCTTATGAACAATTCTTCACTTGTGTTTCTATAGAAATCTGAATATCCTCTTCCCTCCATTTCCATTCCCTGAACTTCTCGACACGGAAGTAGACTAAAATCTACTTTCTACCAAGATTTATTAACTAGTAATTAACACTTCCACCATTCATCAATATCTCAGCTACAAACCTGTCTACGAGTTCGGTAGAACCCACTAGCTTCACCCTAAATCCTATATTTGTGTTTGAAATCCTAATTTTTCCAAAACTAGTTAACTGTCGCAAAACTCACCTCTACCTCGACACAAAAGCCCACCTAGAGAAACAACAAACTAAAGAGATAATTTTTATCAAAAACTATAATTAATACTCAAATGATATAGAAATGATCAGAGTCACAAGTTCTTTTTTTCACTCAACAAGTAGATATATTGCAGAAAAAAATATGAAAGACTTTACGACTAAAACATTCAAGACTAATACTAACAACTTTGTAGTTAAAAAAGAAAGAGAACTTGGTGTATAATAGAAGCATGAAACGTCACATTCAAGCTCATCTCTTTCTGAGTCAGAAAAATTGACAAACATGTAGTGGGCTTAATTAAAAATTATTGCAACAATTAATGGAATTAACATAAATCCAAATTGATTAGATGCCAATCACCTTATACTTGTCTTCTATCCCGTGTGAAAACGAAATATTTTTTTCCTAAGCTGACTAAAGTAACATATTCGGTGTAATCCTACTAGAAATCCTAGATCGGTTAGAGAGACTATTTCCTATAGAACCCTCACTATATTAAGAATTGATCATTTTGTTGTGTACTTTAATTTGCTGTAACATATTAACCGCCTTATTTGGAGTTACTGAATTTTGTCGAACCTCCACCCCTTACTCTCTGCCCTGCACAAAATCTAAGGTACAATTGGATGTTGGGATGGAGAGGAAGTGGGCGAACAGAAAGTGATTGAATTTATTGATACAAATGCTTAAGTAGAATGATTTTATTAATACAAAATAAAATTTAATAACTTTGTTAAATAAATTTCTAAAGTTGAATAACATTTTGAGATATTAACTCATTATCGCGTCCTTCACTGTCATTGCAAAATTTACTTTTAATCTTATAGCTCTCCTTGTTGATAATAAAGTTGTATTATGCCGCTGATTGAATTTAAAAATTATTCACCTAATCCAACTTCTGAGGAGTATTTATTAAATTTTACGAAATGCCCGTTGAAATAAAATAATAATAATAATAGAATAAACAAATGTTGTGCCACTTGATAACTTTCATCAGCAATTCATAATGAAAACTACATTAATTGTTTAATAGTATACTTAAATTATTCTTTCAGTAACCTCATGATTAAGACATACTCAATAAAAAAAAACTTAATCATTAGCTCATGATAATATCTTTATGGAAAATTTACTTGACGTTAGAAATATTTAGACTGTATTTACCGATTACAGTTTCAAAAATTATGAAATGTAGTTATATTTGGATTTTGTAGCTAATATACAATACATGTATGCACTGATACAATATGCATTGATATAGCTCTTTCACGCAATTTCAGCTACCTCATTGCCTGAACAACAATCCTCCTGTGACCCGTCTGATACAACAATAGTAACTACGTCTTATAAATACATTTCATAACTATACTCTAAACTATGGGTATTTATAAAATTTTATTTATTTTTATCGGTCAATAATAGAAATTTAAAACCCTTGACTAGCAATTTGTTCTTTAAGAAAAATTTAAGAAATACATAAAAGATGTTTGACTGGAGGAATAAAATTTAGTTTGTTAATTTTCCTCTGATTAATCACTGGAGGAAAACTCCAAGAATGCACTTTTGCATATGCATTTATTTATTTAGACTCCAGAAATATTATGTATGACTCTATTTATTTATTTTTATTGATTATATAATGTTGCACAACGTCATCATATAAAACTGCTCTAAATATTCTCACATCAAGAAGAATATGCCTAGTGCATTAATAGATTATAATTCTTTAATTTTTAATGGAAAATAAATAACCGAAAATAAAATAAAATAGGGTGTCTATCAATGAGTCTTAATATTTTGAGTCAAAGTTTAATTGAATATACATTTGAAGATTAATTAACCGGCAAAATAGAATTGTTTAGTGTTCTTGTGGAGTATCTTTTGGAAGGCCGGCAAGCTATTATTAGGGGGAGTGTGGGCTGACCCTTTCAACAGTTACACATCGCGTGATTGAAATTCTTTTCATTTTTATTTAAAGATCTCAAATTCGAGCTTTGAAATGTAGAATTAGTGGAGTTAGTAGTGCTCATACGAGCCAATAATGGGTGGTTGACGTAATGGGCTCACTAGTGCAAAGTCAAATTAACTGAGTCAATAAAACCACACTAAAAGTTTATTGAGAGTCGAGCCAGTAAGTTTCAAATAATGATGATTAAACCAGAAAAAGAAAAAAAAGAGAAGCATTATAAATAGTTTTGAGTCAGCTAAAAGATGTCTTGCTTGTATGTATGTACTAACTAATTCTATATGATTTTGGTATTAACTACTACTAACTTGACACAAAATTAGGAAACAGAAAGCATAGTTTGACTATGTACAAGGTATTAACTTCATCCACACTTGGTCTCATTTTTTCTAAACAATAAAATTCATGATACCTTTTCACAAGCATCATTTGATCAACACAGGAAGTGTGTTGACTAAGTAGCTCCTCCATGTGAGTTATGTCATAGACAAAGTTATCTCGAGATTATAGTTCTGGAACACCTCTCATATGGGATATTAAAATTTCAAGTTTGAAGTATAAATTAATCTTTGGAATATCTCACCTTGTCTCATGAATCAAACGATCCACACTCCAGTGTCAAGTTGTGGACAGATGAAAACAAAGTCATATTTTAGGCAAGAAACTGTGAAATATATGGTTGAAATTAATAGTATTGAACCATCCACCACCAGCATCCACTCTCAATAAAAATAACAAAAGGGAGAGAAAAGGAATTATAGAAATCTAGGAAACAAACTAGTCACTAAGTAGATAGTAAAGGGTATACAAAATGTCAATAATGGCTTTAATATCAAATTCATTGCAATTCATTCTCCAAAATCTTCCCCTGAATGAATGGTCTGCATTTGTAACTCCTAGAAAATTCTACAACAAACAATGGCGACGAGGATAACGTTGCATGTTCAGGTATGCGATATTTCTGAGCCAAGAGCCACCCCTACCTGATAAAAGACATGCATCAGCTAACAACAACAGCAGTTTTAAGTAATTAAGCAAATCATAAATCACATTTGAGTCATAAAGTAAACTCATTTCAACAAATAAGCATATTGCAAATTTTAAAAATGGAAGGTTTTTGTTATCGCTCCTTGGTATACGCACATTTGTTTTGATAAGTAAAACTGTGTAACTAATTATGTCCCTTGGCAATATCAAATGCAACTCCAGTCCCACAATATGCACAGAGTAGCCCCAGCCCCCATTCACTTCCCAAATCCCATTACCTACATTATGTACACTTAATCAAGTTCAGACATGGGACTCAGGAATTGAACAAGCAGAGATCAGCTGTTACAGGATTGAGCAAGCAGAAGAACAATGCCTCAACTTTGTGGTCGACCATATGAATCCTCCCAGAGTCCCAGAGACCCAGACCATGTTTCTCCATTTATCTCAGACCAACATTATACAAAATTAAAAATAAAAACTTTATATTTTTCTTCTAGCATAAAAATCTGCAATAGGGCTAAAAACACTTCTAAAAAGCATATGACCCTAAAGTAAATGTCCTAATTAGTTACAATTATCAAAAAAAAGTAAATGTCCTAATTGACAAACATATTTCGGACAAATTTGTATCACCTATATAGATCTTTTGTTTCCATTGTGCTATATATTTGCATGAATTCCGTGAGATTGAAGGTCTTTTGAGAGAACTTCCCTTCTATGACTAACATCAATCCTTTTTCTTTTTCTTTTTCTTTTTTATTGTTCTCTCCCTTTTTTGACTTTTTTCTTTTCCAATTCTGTTTTTGGTCTTCCGCGGAGGACCATTTCACAGAAACGGCTGCTTCTAATTAAAAGTTCAAAGCATACTGTAAAACAACATCTACTTGACCTTTGTAAGAGTCCAAGATTAACTTCTACCTCCAACAACAGATTCATAACAAACTATCTGCCAGAATTACCGAGGCATGGCATGTTTATTTTCATTTTTGTATGAACTTTTTGAACAATTCATTAGGGGGTTCATCTAATAGACATGTAACACATACTGTCTGCATTAAAATTCAGCTAAACTATAAACTTGAAGAAGCAAATATTGCAATCTTTTCACATGTAACTGAATAACTGCAAAAGGCCTATATCCTTGATATTCCTTTTTTCTGATAGGTAGATCTTGATATTCCTTCGTAGTGCCTAGCTACATATACTGAAAGTAAGCTCACCAACTTATAAGTATCACCATGAGTTTAGATGCATAGAAACACTAACCCTGTTTCTTTCCTCCGAGATAAATTTAATCCAATTCCCAAAGTCAACCGAAGAACAACAGCTGTCAAACTTTTGCTACAAACTTTACATGTTGATATTTCTTTCTAAGTTGCTCGGACTCTCCAAAAATGTTGCCGCACCCGCGTAGGATCCTTCAAAAATACACTATTTTTGGAGGATCCAACACGCGCTCGTCGGCATTTTTGAAGAGTCTGAGCAACATAGATTTCTTTACCATCTAGTTCAAATCTAGTACTTGGTAAGTGTTGATGCAACAATTACCCTCTTTCCAATAATGACCTAATTTTGGTGTTTGTAAAATGTTCCCTTTTTAAAAGAATAAATAAATTGTAATCTACTGTTCATTGAAAAAATACAATATAGTAGAGTAGATCATTGCATAGAGTTTGTAGCATTGGCTCCTCTTTGTTCTTATTCTACTTTATTTGCTAGTTCTAACATTCATACAAATACTACTACACCTCAATTCCAAGCAAGTTGGGGTTGGATATATGAACCCTCACTGACCATATCACTCTATTTAAGCTCATTTAAACCCATATGACTGATTCTAGCATTCATAACTTTATAAAATTCCTACCATAAGACCCTTCGGGGTGGCCCAGTGGTTTGAGCTTGGGACTTCCATGTTGGAGGTCTCAAGTTCGAAACCCCTTGCCAGCGAAAGCAAGGGGTTTGCCTTCTGGGTCGAGCTCGTCGCACCAGGCTTGCCTAGTGCGGGTTACCTCTCCTATGTGGTTTGCGAGCTATTGCATAGGAGCGGGGGTTTTACCCTGTGCACACCCAAAGGGTAGCGGCTGCGGGTTTCCCTTGTCATCAAAAAAAAAAAAAAAAAAAAAAAATCCTACCATAAGAATGAGCAAGTGAGCAACATACAGAACTTTTCCCCTTTAGCCTCTTTGAACTTCTAAATCTTGCCCAACTGCGGTTTCCCTTAACCAATATTTTACATGTCAACATAAATACCTAAAATCCACTCTATTTTAGTGGATTTTACTGCAAGGAACAGATGTTACCCATCAAGCAAATTATTAAAACCAGTTACGTGTATAAGTAAACATGAACACTCCTTTATAAATTTAAAAAAAGTATACATTAAGACACCTAAGAAGAACCATACTCAATCCTCATTTCTGTGATGCAACCTGACTCAACC